AAATGAAATAATTTTGAAAATACATTCTTCTATTTTGTATTGCGTGATTTATATTGAATGTTCTTAAAAGGAAATGACGTTCGAAACGTCTGAAGACTGGGGAAACCCTTGAAACCAACCACTGGGAGGTGCAATGAATATGAAATGCACTAAAAGAGTAAAGGATAGAATTGATGAGTTTTGTAAACCAATGGTAGATTTTTATGAATATTTGATTTAGTTAAATGTATACACAGTAATAGCAGTCTTAGAAAGTGTTTTAATACCTTAACTACGACTATTACTTAAAAGTAAAGGCATTTATTATCTATTTTTCAATAACATTTACCTTTTCCCCATACATGTACTAAAAAAATGTATTTGAAAAGATTAATTTATTTGCAAAATCAGCACTTCCCTTCCTTTGTTTTACATGAACTTCAACTGAAATTTCACAAATGCAATTTCTTCATTACTCAAGGTTTATTTTGCGCCAAAACTATTGTAAAAGCTGTGTGCTAAATGTGCTAATTCCACCTAAAGACCCTCCATGTGTACACATGTACATATATGTATATTTACTTGCCTATTTAGGCATATTACGAAGAATATCGCAACGTAGAGCCCCCTTGGATATGCAATTGTACGACAGAGTGACTCATCGGACAGGCCGAAAGCAAGCGTTTTCCGCACATACATATATCCAATATTTCATTTGAGCTTTTTTTGTGTTTCTGCTGTGTTGTGTTTATGAAAGGCCATACCGAAAAGCCCAACGGGCAAGAAATTGAACAAAACCCGAAACGAAACCAAAATAAACAGAGGATCGTATCGGATCGGAGCGGATCGGGGATCTGTGTGTAAAAATGATCGTACAATGCGTGGCCATGCGGCTAAGAGGGTGAGCGTTGGCCATCGGAGGCGAAACGGAAAGAGGGGCAAAATAAAACCATTTATAACTGCATATTTTTGTGGCATATGGGGCAGGCGGCACGGGGCACATGAACTCGTGGAACTTTTGCAATTACTCGTAAGATCAACGGCGGCTTGGTGCGGGCCAAGAAAGCCAGATGGCTACGGCCCCATAGTTTTCCCCCCAAGATTTCCGCAATGATCTCTCTCCATCTCTCTCTCTCTCTGTAGTTTTTTACCTATCTTATAAAATAATTTATGCTTTTCTAAGAACATTCTCTCCGGCCTGAGGCCCTTCTATCGGAGCGTAGCCGAATGTGGTGTGCGGTGGTTGAGGTCTTCTTTTTGGTTGGGGTTTTTTAAGCATTTTATTTATAGAGGAGTCTGAATGTGACGCATTTCGTTTAACGTTGGCATGTGAACTTTTTTATTTTTTGTTTTGTTTATCTCTCTCGTAGGTTTTTTTTTTATTCGAAGCGAAATGTGAATGACTTGTGTGCTGGTACAAGTGACAATGTTTCAATTGATCAAAGCCCTGAGAGGAGAAGAGTGTCTCTCATTATACAGACTATCGAAGGTAGAGCACACCTTATGTCATCAGGGAAAAGAGTCTCTTTCGTTTAGTTACAGATCTTTCAAGGTATAAGTGATCTTATTTGGACATTGACGTGCAATGATTGGACTGTCAATTGGGCCAAGCGATACAAAGCAGAAGCTTGTTATACGCGAATCTCCGGTAGAAATGCTGCATTGACCGAGGAGCGCTGCTGCATGGCGCTGGAACATGCGGGAGGGGATAGAATCAAGAGAAGTGCATCAGAGAGGGCACACCCTTAAATCATACCAAAAGGCTTTCTCCTTCTTCCGATCCTTAAAGCTATAGCTCCTCTTATATCATGTCCAAAGTATCTCCTATTCCACCGGTCTTCGAGGGTATATCACAATCATAGACCATGCCTGGCTCTTGCTTTTGTTCATGTATTTTTCTGCAGGCTCCAAAGTTCAACTCCGATGGCGGGGGGCTTAGTCGTTCCACCTCTTGATGGATGCGTTGAGCAAAGCCCAAAAGCAAACAACTTCCGATTTATAATTATCTGTGTGCCACCATATACAGGGTGTCTTGTCGGTCGATTTGTCAGTAATTTTCCTAAAAAACATTGTAGTTCTCCGTATCTTATCGGTGGGTATAAATTTTACAATTAATATTTTTGTTTGCAGAATCTACTATAGCATGTACTAAACAGGAAAAAAATACATAGTCGCTTGCTCTTGTCTGGTATATCTCGTCGTATAAGTACTCCATATATCTCTATCTCTGTATAAGCACTCCATATAGACATGAAGGCATAGTCTTGGGCGATAAGCCAACAGATAAATGATTGATGTCACGCTCTTGAGGCACTTTTCTCTGCTGCTTCTGATGACACCCCTTTCTTTCGTCTTTTGTGTTTCTTGGACAGCTGTCAAAGTTTTTGTTTACATGCCAAAACATCTAAATATGGTAGCATCTCATCTGCATGATTAATTAGAGTGATATTTCTTGCACATACCAGACAGCTATGACACAGACAGACAGACACGCGTGGGGGAAAGTGGCGCGAAGAAAGTGAAAACTGTTTCCTCAAAGGGAAGCAGAAAAGGAAGGAGAGAAATGAATGCGTTCTAAACTACTGCTAAAGTGTTAGATGAAAACATTCAGCTGTTGTTGTCGTCAGTGGGTTTCCGTATTCTGGATTTACCAAAGGGATTTGTTTACGCGTGGGGTGGGGTGCTAAGTATGTGTACTAAATGTGTTTAGACCCATAAATCAGCCACAGATCAAAGCAACGAATGTGTGAAGGCGCTACTTTTTGGTATCAAATTGTCTTCTAGTGTTTGATTTTGACTTAATTTATGAAATGGGTTTAGATAATTTTCTAAAGGCGTTTCATATGAATTTTTAATGTTTAGGGTACCAAATTTTGTGGTCTATGGAAGTTTAGAGCTAAACTAAAATAGTTAGACAACTAGTTTGGTGATCTAAAGGACAATGGAATGGTAAATTTGACTCATAATTTACTACAGGGTCTTATAAAACACCGTTATGTAATAATAATCTCTTTTGAATTAACTTATAGCTCTTAAGCTCTGTACTAAATGGGTTTCCCAGCGGTCTAAATGATTAGTTTATCTATATAGTACCTTTCTAAGCTTAAAACAGCTGTACTTAAAGTCTTTCCCAAAGATCTAATTGATTATTCGTGCATGCTCTGCCCTGTAAAGGGAAATACTAAGTTTTTATTACCTTTTAAGAAGCTAAAACTATGAATAAAAGTTACAGCCACTTTTAATCATCACACCCACACATTTCTATCCAAATCCATGACTCTACCGCCTTGGAATAAATGGAAAAGCTGGAGAGTTGCATTTACCCTATTCGTGGCACCTGTGAAGCGTTGAATGCACCGCCCCTAGAGGCCGCCATGTGGGTGCCTTTAATTGCAGCCTCCCTGCCTCCATGTGCCCCTGCCTCAACCAAATGCTAATAAGCATTTCTGTAATAGTACTCGCGCTCGTATGCCTTGCACATGGAAAAAATTATAAATATAAATCACAAATAGCTCCCCGGAACACCCCGCCAGCTGCACGGCGATCCAATGGGCATTCGAGTGGGGCAACAACAGCACTCGTAGGAAAATTGCAAAAATCTCAAATTGTTTTGCACAAATATTGCCTCCAGTTGCAATTTTACAGTTTATAGATTTTTGCATTTCAGGCAGATCTTTGTTGTAGTATTAATGCTGATAACCCAGATTCCACATTGATTTCGAATCCCATTTCAATGTCAGAAGGGCGGGGGCCACGTCTGGAGGCTGGGAGCTTAAATTATGCCCCAAATGTAAACAGGGGCACAGCACTGCACGGCAGAACACAACAAATATTTGCGCCAACGTCACTGGGGCATCCGTGTGTGTACCCGTACGCGTATTTATTTCACAATTCCGAGCTATGTAAACTTGAGGGGATATTTATAAACACATTTCACAACACAATCCAAGCTGAAAAAGGCTGAAAAGTTTCTTTAAAGAAACATTTCAATTGAAATCCAATGCCCGGTCATGATATGCTGCCACTGCAATGCCAAGAGGAGGAGGCAAGAGATTGGGCTGTCCAATCGATTAAGTAGATTATCCCCTGCATTAAAGTACAATTTAAAAATAGTTCTTGGTCCATCGAAGCACTTGCATTAATGATAGAAGCCATTACGTAGAGAGAAAAATCCATTAGAACTTGAGGAAAATCGTTTAGTACTAAGTTTCAAAGGTCTAAATACTTTCAAATTAGATAATTAATGAGCACTGATGTTTCAAAGCACAAGTATCTGCCATGAAATATCTGAGATGAAAGGTTATTGGCCAAGAAAAGAACTTGGATCAATGCGAGAGCTACAAAGTAGATTCTAAACACATTTAGATCTTTGGGAAAATCATTTAGTACGAGGTCTCAAAGCTTTAAATACTTTCAAGTCAGATAATTAATGAGTTCTGATGTTTTAGAACGCCATGTAGGGGACCAATTAGTCACTATTCGAGTTGTACAGAAGTTTGATGTCTAAATAGGATAATTAGGGGTATTTTGAGTGTTTAAAAGGTGCCTGAAATCTACAGAAAAAAGTCTAAGTGATGTTTTCAGTCCAGACTTCATGTTAAATGTGTTCTAAATAAGTTCTAAGGAATTTAAAACATTATAAATATGATAATTATGGAATATTTTGGGCATTTAGAAGCTTTAATATCCTTTCAGAGGCATATACAAACTTTAGAAAAGTGTCTGAGTTATTTAGTCCCGATTTCAAGATTTAAGTGTGCTAACGTATTCTAAAAAGCTGAATTGCTTAAAATAATAAAGTGTAGGTTTATGTGGAGATTTAAGAAATACAATATAACTCTTTAAGGTTTTTGAAAATATCGTAAATATTATTTAATAGAATTAACATTGTTTTTGGTGGCTATTGTTGTCCCAACTTGTATTCCTTAGCTCATATTCCCATATGACTCTCAATTCTTATCGCAAAAAATTGAACTAATGTATTTTCTCCCCACCCTTCTCTGTTTTCTGTTTGGTTACAGATATCGTTTTCGCTTATCGAAAATAGAACAAAATTCTGTACTCGAATGCTGCCACCGAATTGCAGAGACCGCAAAGAACAAAGCAACTGCAAAGGCAACACGAATGGAAATGGAAGGTGCTCTAAAACAACGCTCCAGATGCACTCACACTCACACCCCGATTCACATTCGCATTCGCATTCACTGAAGAGAAACTGACCAAAAGGCGAACAACCGTCGAACGAGAGAAGCAGAAGCGGTAGCTACAGAATATAAGACACGAACCGATGTGATACTTGGGACTACAAAGAACTAAATTGCATTGCATCAAACGATATATATATTAAGCAACGTATTGAAATTGACAAAGACTTGAGTGCTAGGAGGACTTGCCAAAAAAACACTGAAGCAGACCCTCGGAAAAAATGGAGCACCTCGATCTGGCGGGTTATCTGAGTAATACACCCACAACATGGAACAGTTTGGGCAACAGTTTCGAGCAGCAAGGTAAGGAGAAGGGGCATCGGAGAAGAGGAGCAGAGGAATGCCTGCCTTTGGGTCAGCCGTCTGTGTCTGTCTGCACTGAATGCCCTGCCATTATGGACTTTATTAATAAATTGCATAATTAAGCGGCATGAATAATGCCGCAGTGGAGCAGATAAGATCAAGAGCTGCAGCTAAATGGAATCGGATGACAGACAGATGCAGTGGCAGTGGCAGAAGGCAGTGGCAGGGATAGGGCAAAGGCAAAGGCGCAGGCATAGGGATAGGAACTGAGAGAGTCTGTGCCTCTTTTGTGGCAGTCTGACAGATTGTCGTTTGGTTTCTTGGTTCTTGGTTTTAGTTTTGTTGTAGGCACAGCTGGAGATGGTTCTTCCACCCATGAAGATGCGCAAATGGCAGGCACTGATGCTAAGTGGGCACTGAAACACAGAAGATGCGGCCAGACAATTAACTTATCTTTTTTCTGCATCTTTCAGATGCCATTTACTTGTCGAATTCCCGGCAAATGCTGGAGCCCATCATGGAGGAGACCAGCGAGGATGAGGAGCATGCACAAAACAGTTGGAATGGCTATCACGAGCAGCAGCAGCAGCATCGTGGCTCCACTGGCCATTGCGGTGGTGGCTTCTGGAGCTCCACAGAGTCGGAAACGGGTTCCGTAATACGCATCGAAGTGACAAAAGGTAAGCAAAATGATTACAAAAATCGCTTCGAACGGAAATAATCAATTAAATATCTTTCAGATATCGATGCAATTTCCGAAAGAGACTTTGCCTGCCCGCCCAAGCGACCCAGACGCTGCCAGGAGCCCGACCAGCCGCACAGTCTGGAGGATGGTGTGCAAATGCGACTACATCGTCGCTATGATGCAGAATCGCACAACAGTCTGGAGAGATTCCTGGCCCTGGAGGCCTGTGCCAGGGATAGCTACGGCAGTCAGGGCCAGAGGAGCAGCACGGGAAGTCGTCGGGGGGGGATCTTTGACGATTATTACTCCGACAATGATTCGTTCCACTCGCTGTCGCGCAGCTCCTCTCTGGTGCAGTTTGAGTCCCTGGAGCGGCAGCTGACGTTGCAGGAACAGCACCAGAGCATGAACAGCCTGGGCAACAGTTCGCCGTCGCTCTTCAACTGCGAAATGGGAGCCAGTGCCAGTGCCAGCGACAGTAATCCCGAGAGCAGGCGGGGATCAGCCACCTCCCTGTCGCTGATGAAGCGCTACGAGTCCAGCGATGGACGCCTGCATCAGACGTATTTCGAGCTCAACAAACTGAACTTTGAAGAGCAGCAGCGGGAGCTGTTCGCGAAGAACCTCCTCCAAGCGGAAATTAAGTCGGATTCCGAGTCGAGCACCAGCTCCTCGAGCGACAGCAGCGGCCACAGCCTCCTGAGCTCCTGCCAAGGCAGCGGAGTGGCCAGTGGCAAGCAGGACGGTGGTGCCGCACGGCGTATACCACTCAATTCGGCGGAAAATCTCTCCGAGGATTCCGGCTACTGTGAGCCGAGCACATTGCGACGCGAGAAATCTAAATCCATACCAAAGAATTTCGACAAGCTGTGCGAGGAGGAGGAGGAGCTGCTGCTGGAGGAGTCTGCAACCGTCGTGCCACATTCCAAAAACTCCAATGGCGGACATGATTTGTGTCAGACGAAAATAGAGCAGACTACGACGGAGGCTACTACGCCAGCAGCAGCGGCAGCAGCAATGTCTATGCCCATGCCTCTCTCTCCGTCGTCGTCTATTAATAGCAGTACGGAGAGAGCATCATCAGCATCGCCATCGCCACTGCCCTCGCCACTGGCATCGCCCAGCGGATCATCGGCAGCCTCATCGTCGTCCGCCGCCTCGTTCACTTGGCTGCGCAACAGTTTGCCCGACATACGCGAGCCGCGAGGTTCATCGTCATCGCCAACGTCCGCCACGAGTCGCCACCGCCACATCAACGCCGCCATCGATCCGTCGCCGTCGTCGTCGTCGTCTACGTCGTCCAAGTGTTTTCCAGCGGAAAACGATATACACGGCTACGTGCTGGCCAGCAGCGGAAATCCACGTTGCAGTCGGAGTAGCCGCAGCAGCAGCAGCAGCTCCTCCTCCTCCGCAGACTGCTCCCCTGTCCTTGGGGCCACCTCCCTGCCCAACGAGCTGCAGCAATTGGGGCGCCGACGAACGCGTACGCGCCACAATCGTCCCGCGCCACGGAATTGCCACAGCAACAGCAGCGGCGGTAACAGCTCCAGCGAGGACTACGACTTGGAGGAGGAAGAGCGTCGCGACGACTTCTTCCTGGACTTTTGTCAGCAGCCCAGGATTCGCAGGAGCTGCAGCTGGAACGTTGGCAAGAGGGGACTGGGAGGAGGCGCTCCATCTTCTGCTGCGGCAGCATCCACCGGTGCGGGTTACATGAACGCCAGCTATCAGAACCTTACGCTCTTGGATTACACGGATACACAGCCAGAGGTGGGAGATTTGCAGAGGAACTCCAAGAGAAGTCAACCCGCAGAAGAGCCCTTGGAACACAGCCAACCCTTGGACATGTCTGACAGGAGCAGTCAACCCTTGGAGATGTCCAATCGAAGCAGTCTATCCGGCGGGGACTACGAGCAGATCATCTGCAAGGGGAACTTCCTGTTGGATGAGCTGAGCAAAATCTACGACAAGAACGTGTCCATTCTGAATGACAGACCAGCAACAGCAGGAGCGGAGGATCAGGTGGATAGCAGTCATAAATTGGAGGCAGAGGAACCGCCCCAGGTGCAGCATGTCCAACTGACCATAAGGAAGCCGCCTCCACGCCAGAAAAAAGTCAGTGGAGAGACCCAGCCCACCACCACGCCCACGCCCAAACAGAGACCCAACCTGCCGCCCGCGGCTGTCTTGAGTTTCTCGAGTTTTGGCAAGACCTTCGATCAGGATCCCACAAATCTGCGCACCTCCTATGCGCAGTCGCTGGAGCAGTGCAATTTCGATGCCCAGGAAATGAGTCCCACAAAGGTGCCGCCGCCCAGGGCGCTGCCCAAGAGACGCTTCCAGTCCCAGGCGGCGGCGGCCAAGCAGAAGAGCCTCGTCAGCAGCACGCCCAATCTCTCTGCCTTCGACAACAGCAACGGGGAGACGGAGGATGACATCTACGTGAGCAGTGCTCACACATCGATGCACCAGCTGCCGCAGTCGGCGAATCAACCCAAACCTTTGGGCATTCTACTGCCTGCGGGCTCCCGGAACTCCTTCAGCAAGGAGGTGAGCTTCTGTCCGGTGGTGAGCAAGTACTGCTGGCAGGAGCAGTCCTCGGAGGAGCCACAGGAGGATCCAGGACTCGGCAGCGACACTCCCGGGCACTCTGACGACGATGATGAGCTAATGGACAATGTGGACGCCACTGTAATGCACAACACCAAAGAGAATGAGAACATAGCAGCGCGCTACAATCAAGAGCAGCAGAAAAGAGAAACGCAACCGCAAGAGAGTGTGGTAGTTGAAGTGAGTATCGAGCTGGAAGAGAGAGCAACAGCAGAAGAGCCAGCAACAGCCGAAGAGAGTTTGGCGACGATCGCCACGGCAGAGAGCGATGCCGAAGAGAGCGATGACAACAACGAAAACATCGCAAACATCGCAGCCGCTGCTGCTGCTGCCGCTGCCGAAGCCGATTCGGAGCCCCGACACGAGCCCGTTTCAAATTCTGGAAACGAGACTGCATTCATTCACGAACAACGCGCCGTCGCGCAATCATCGCAATCGACACCGTTATCGACATCGACATTGGCTTCCAGCTCACCCTCGCCATCGCACTCTTTGCCATTCTCCGCCAGTCGTGATACCGCGCCCCCTCAGCGTCCCCTGAGCCTGCATCTGCCGATCCTCAGTGAACCGCCCACGAACCGCGCCCACCACATACTCTACGCCTCCCAGCAGCTGTTGCAACGCTACGACGAGGAGGAGCCGCACGAGCGCGAGGATCGCCGCCAAATGGCACCCCCCGCCAGTGGTACAGTGGAGTCCCCCACAAAACAAAAGGGTGGAAAGTCGCCGGGAAAAACAGACGACAAGCACCCGAGCTCCAAGAGTTTCCTCTCCAGATTCGCCAATGGCCTGCGCTTCTCCCTGAGGCGCAAAAAGAAGCAACAACAGCAGCAGCAGCAACTCGAACAGAAGCCTCCGCTGACAAAGGCAGCGCCCGTGAAGGCCACCAAACAACAGAGCAACGGAAAGTCGGCGGACTTCATACACATACCCCTGAAGCCGCCAAGGAGTGCATCGTCCAATGTCCAGACCTTGGACGACAGCAACGCCTCTGAGGCCAGCACCGCGAGTGTGCACAGTGGTTCGACTCTGGCCAAGACATCCACATTGCAGAAGGTGGTTACCGGCAAGCCGCCGCTGCCCAAACAGCCGCCCAGATTGACGCATGCGCCTCCGCCAACGGTGCCAGCAAGTGCTACCCATGCCTATGCATCGGAGGCTTTGCTCAGCGCCGAGCGGGAACAGTATCGCGAGTTTGCGGACCAGTTGTCGGCGGGCATGCAAGCGGCGAGGATGCGGGACACCGAGTCGCCCTCGCGGGCCACCGTTGCCCAAAAGACGCAAATGTTCAATCAGCTGGGAGCCGGCTCCAGCGCCGGTGCCGGTGCCGGTGCCGGAATGCGCCCCACAATGGTCACTGCCGTGCCCGTGCAAGTATCCCCCGTGCTGGACGATGAGGATGGATCCGGCAAAATGGGTCTGATTGAGACGAATCTGGACACCCACGAGACGGTCATCTCGGGCAAAACCCGCTCCCTAATGGACATCACCTGCAATCCATTGAGCCAGCCCCACAAGCGGTATCTGGTGAAGCGTCTGAATGTCACCAGTGCCACCTACGACGTGGATGATGATGACCTCCTCGATGGGGATGTGGTGGTCAATGGACACCATATCAAATCCTCGCCAGCTGCCGGCGGTGTACAGATTGCATCCGTCAGGAGACCGCACAAGAGCATGGAGTTTCTGTTGGATAAAGAGAATCAAAGGAATGTTTTGGTGAGTACCACAAATCCACTCCCTCTTCCACTCCCACTGGCCGGCCCTCCCTTTTTTGTGGGTGGTGGCAAACTATTTCGTATTCGGATTCGTAGTTTTTATGCCTTTTGTCTGGCATTCCAGTCAGCAGCAGAAGCAGAAGCAGCAGCAGCATTATCATCCCTTAGTGGTGTAACGCGCAGTATTTGGGGCATGCCGCTCCCATCTTTTGGTTTGGGGGAAATCTTTTGTTTTGAAGGGGTTTATCAGCTGAAAGAAGTTTTTTGTGGCTAAAAATTATGTAGATAGTATTTTCACCGACTTTTTACCATCAAATAATTTCTCAAATTGAGAATCCTATAGGAAAAATATAATATTTTTAGCAGTTATTATATTTTTATTATTATTGGTCCAAGTGAATTATTATGTGAATTATTTCCATCGAAAATGCTTTAATTTCATCAAATTTTGATTGTTTGGTGTTTTTTTTAATCAATTAACGGCTCAAATCGTTAAAAGTCAACAGCTTTGATTAGATAAGTATTAATTCGTATAGGAATAGGGTATTTGTACTTTTTTATGTTCTCTGTCTTCTTTTTTCTTCCTATAAGAATACATATCTCTTGTAAAATAATTCTATCTTTATTTCAAAGCTTATGCCTAATCCCCAACTACTGCCATTCTAAATTTTGACTCTGAATTTCCATTCCTTTAAGAGCACTTCCAATTCGTTGGATGTTCCTTTCGTTTCGTTTTGCCCCCGATTACCGCTGTCACTGTGTGTTTTCCTTTCTGTTTTTCTTTGTCTCTTGCCTCGTGTTTCTCTGTGGAAAGGCACGAAAAAATTATGCAAACGATGCAATCTTTCTCGGGAAGCGCGCTGCTGCTCCCAAAGTTTGTTCCCGTTTCCGCTCGAACGGCGACAATGGGCGACTTTGATCTTGTCTTTCGGGGGGGGACATTATGGATGTTAATTGATTTGGTGGGCCCAACACCCCCGACGCCCCCAAGTGCTCAATGAACTGTGACAACTTTAATGCACGTACCATTTTCTTTCTTTCCGTCTTTGCGCCTTCCGCTTTCTTCTGAGTCTGTGACCCCAAATGGAAGAAGGATACTCCTACCCTGTGCTCTATCATCATCAGAACTGCTATAACCATTATCCTTTCAACCCTGCGGGTGGCTCTGTCTAAGCGGCTTACCGCTGACTGAGTTTTAAAGCGGCCAGGCCTTTACTCTCGTGATGTTATTCTTTATTTTTGATTTATTAGGCGACACATTCCATTCCACACTGTGTGCCTGCCTTCCCCCTCCCTATCCTCCATAATCCTTGGGCATAAATCAATGGGTGATGTTGTTTTTCTCGCCTCTCAGCCTCAGAGCCGCCTCACATTTTCCTCAATTTTCTTGGGTGCTTGGTGCGTTTTTATGGCTCCTACAAATTACTTGCGCGATGATGCCCCGGCGATGCTGGGCTGCTTGCCACAGAGACAATGACCACTTGACCTTAGTTTTCGTAATATGTGTGTGTGTGTGTGTGAATGCCCCCGAGTCGTGTCCGTGCCCCACCACGCCCTTACGCTTCTAGATGATGGCCTTTGTTTTCCGGGGCTCTCACATTTTTTCTGCCTGTTTTTCTCTCTCATTACGTTAATTGAGTCGATGGAACTGTGGAACGATGGGCGTTGGGGCATTGGGGCGACGGGCGATGGCTTTTGTTTAATAACGAGAGGAAAAAGCCCTACAGTTTTGGTCAAAAGTTTGTTGGGTTTCTTTTACTTTTGCGGATAGTCCGTGGATGGCGGATGGGCGGGAGACCCAATTAACTCGATGTTTACTTGGCACTTTTTTGCTCGACTCTGACCCATTAACATCGTGGCTTAAAGAGCCAGCTGGTTTTGGCCAACAGCGGCTTGGTGAGAAGGGAAGTCTGCGGATGTTGTCTTGAAATTTGTGTTTAATTATAGTTTCAATTTAAATTTCAGTCAAGGCTTCGCCTTGGGAAAGATTTAAGGCAGAAATTGGCCTAGGAAGCCATTCTTTCTTTTTTCCTTTCTTGTTTTTGATGAGTTTTGATTATTCAAAATTTTGTTTCCATCCTAAAAGATTTTTTAGGAAAAGAAGAAAGAACTTCTGATGTATGAGGCCATATTAAACATATAGAAAAAGTTATCTAATTTAATTATATATATTTTTTGTATACCTTGGAAATTTCTCAAATTTAATTAAATTTTTTTTTTTTGTTGACATAAAATTGGGAAATATATTTTTTGTGGTTTTTATGGTGGCCCCTGTCTGCTAGCATTTTTATGTAAGATACGCATCTATGTTGAGCTTTTCGTTTATGTTTTCCACTCACGTACACAGATATTTTTGTAGAAATCGCCTGTTCGTGATTAATAAATATAATTAATAATGTCATACAATAAACAAAAAACTTTCTGGGGCCGCAAAAGGTGTTGTAATGGACAATGCTGAAACTTTGAATAAAGAAAGAAAGAGAGGAAGAGTAAAAGTTGTAGAGAGGGTAGAGAAAATGAGACATACATGAGGGCAGTGTGAATTTCCACATCTACTGGAACCCTAGAAGGGCATTCGAAAGTCGACTGCATTGAACTTTTGTTATGTACCTCTCCCAGTTTTTTTCTGTCTGCTCTGCTCCATCGTCTGCCTTGCCTTGTAAAATAGAAACAGAAAAACTATTAAGCTGCGCCTTCTTTTTCTTTTTTCGTCTGAGCTGCTTCTCTTCTTGGTTTTCATTTGAATTCGAATGCGAGTTGGTCTTGCACTTGGGTTTGGACTCCCTCCTACGTCTCGCTGTCTTCTCTCCCACTTAATGCCAAAACTTTCGCCTTGATTTCCGCTCAAATCCAAAAACTATTTCAATCCCATGAAAACTGGAGATTGCTCCGAGCTCTGTCTTCTGTCTGCTGCCTGGTGTCTGCTCTTGCGGAAATTTGTCGCTGCTGCGCCCGACAGTTGTCATGTGAATAATAATACTACAAAAAATAATTACGGGAGCAAGTACGAGAAAAAGAAAGCAGAGCCAAAGAAAAGAAATGATGATGATGGTGGTGGGCCCCCCAGCATACAGCAGATAAACTTTAATTAAATTTTTCATTATTTTCACATGTAATGTAAACAAATCCAATGTCTGCTCTTCCGATAAGAAACAGAGTCCCGGAGAACAGCAGATTGTTTGTGTGAGTAATCCCTCTCCTGTCTGGCCGGGTCTGTGGGTGGGAGAGGGACAGGGACAGGGGGGTAAAGTGTGCCACTTGCTGTGGACAAAAGCTTATAGGATGTAACTCGTACAGGGTACTGGGTACAGGGTAGATTGAAGGAGCCACAGAAGTAAATGGTAGATACATATACTCGTATACAGAACATATGCACCAAAATACCCTATAGGGTATCGCATAGTCTATATTCTGGCATAGCGTAAACATTCTTACACGTTCCTTTTGGTCACTCCTCCTCCCACTCCCATTCCAGACCATATTCGGCCCCCAACTAACAACAAAAAGAAAGCATAAAAGCAACAAAAAGCGTAAACCAACAAACTACGTCTCTATTTATTTGCTTATCTTTTCTTGTACATTTTCATGTTTTGATGATAAGAAACACCGAGCGCCGATGACAGCCGGCGACATTACTAATACTAACACTAAAGTTCAAGCTAGCGGTGCTTCTTCCTCTCTGCGTCTCCGTCTCCGTCTCCCCCTTTACCCACTCTCCAAATTAGTTTCTAATGTGCTTTAAGCAAACGGTGCTTTCTTTCAATTGTTTTTTGTGCGTTTGGATTTGTTTTTCTCTGTGCTCCTCAAATATTTGTTGTCGGAATTCTTGATTCTCATTCAGTTTATGGCCCGCCGGCGTTGTAAATCCAAAGGGAAGAGGCGAATGAGTGGGGACCGCTTGGAGGTGTGCCAAAATGCAATTAAAGAAAAGAGCAGCTTGCAGAGGAGAGTAATCCTAAGAGTTTTCTTAACAGAACTAATTGCTTGATCTACTGCAGTAGAATGCGCTTGGTTCCTCAGGGCTTACTCCAGCTCAAAGTGCATGAATAAAAAGGTGCAGCGCATTTCCTCAGGGCACTTGCATGCCCGATCTGCTGTAACACAAGCCTCACCTGCATTTGCTTAGGCCGAACCTTATACAAATAGACCTTCTTCAGAAGCATGCTCTGATTGTGATTCAGCTGTCCATTCTTCGCTCTCTTGCTGCGAATTGAGAAGGGGATAAAAGGTGGATCATTCTAAAGAGAGTGCTCCTAATGTAAAGGCGTCTATGTATGAGCATGCGCCCTTAACAGAGTTATTAGATGAGAGCTGCCAACAGAGCTGTTAACACTACTCAGGTAATGTAAAAGATCCCAATTCTGTTAGATCAGCTCGCTCTCTTCTGCTGGTGTGGTTACAACTCTCTTATGCTCCAGCGCTCTCTTTGATTTACACTCTCTGTTTCGTGGCTGTTTCGATGTTTTTCGTGGTTTTACCTGTTTCCTTTTGGCTTATCTCTATAGATGGACTGTTTTTGAGGAACCGCCTAAACAATTTCTTTGCCATTTTTGTAGCAATTTGTGTTGCTTGAACGATTATACATCCCCCCACCTCCTGTTCGTTGTCCCCTACTCTCTTCACAGTTGTCAAGGAAAATTGACTACAGAAAAAATACCTGGAAAATGCAACCTGCTTGCGGAAAAGTCAAATTGTGAAATATTTGGTACAAGAAATACTTTGTAACCGCTTTCTAATGGTAGTTTCAAAGTCCCAAGCGAAGTAAATTAATTAAAATACTTGGGCATTTAGCGGATTGTCGGATTGCTGGATTGTTGGATTGTTGGATTGTCGGGGCTCTGAGATCATTGCTCAGGCATTTTTCCATTGTCCATGACGCGATTGTAATTTATTCAAATTAAAACGGAATTCTGTCTTCCATTAAAGACAGACACTCGCTTCACGCAATATTGTGTGTGATTGTGAGACTTTTCGCCCTGCAACACTGGCCTCTTGTGATAT